GTAGCTTATTTATCAATTAAAATCTTTATGAAGTGTCAATAAATATATTGTATTAACAATTAACAGAAGTCCATGTTTTTTTCTCTGCATCGACTCATCGATGGGATGTCTTATTAAAACACATAAAAAACCTARCTGTAAAACCCCTTAGTACAACCCGTTAGGAAAGCAGATTAGATGCAGTAGACACGAGCAATAAGATTTCGAGTCAAAGAAATATATTCAGCTCTTTTAGAAATATTTCAAGATAATACATTGGTTAATTCTTCTGCAAGTGTTAAATAAGTCACGCCGAAGCAATAGGTATCATCAATAAGTTTTTAAATTTTAAATTTTTATGTTGCTTGGTACTTGGTAGTTTGGTACGATATTTTATTTAAGATTAATATTACCAGTAAAATATTACAATCAATATCGCTTGATGTTTCTGAAATAGTAAAACAATTAACTTTTTTTAATGAAATATTAAAATATCGTTCAGACGAAGGGTTTAAAAATACACTGAGGTMTCTGCTAAATTACTAGCAACTGATCTTGAAATTGAAGATTCATTTTCATTGTTAGATCAAAGTAGAATTAGACGTACAAATAAACAGTTTGATTATGAATCACKTGATGATCCCATTATTGATCCTAAACATAGATTCAAAGTAAACTTTTTCAATGCAATTTTAGATAGAGCTATACAATCAATAATTGACAAAAGATTTATTCAATTCTCCGAACATGTAAACTTATTTTCATTTCTTTATAATATTTCCAAAATAAAAAATAACGATGAACGTATTACACATTATAAAGATCTTCAACTAGCACTTGCTTCAAATGACAGATTATATAACTTCTGACATTAATGCTATAGAATATTATATGATGAAATAACATATCTGCAAAGACGGTTCAATAATACAGGAACTAACCCTCGATTTGTTTGGAATATATATTTGTGAAAATMAACTTAAACTTTTCCCTAACACTTATATATGGCTAAGAATTCTTTTAACACTTCCTGTGASAGCTGCCACGGGGGAAAAGAAGTTTCTCAAAATTAAAAATTATTAAAAATTATTTACGATCACAAATGTCACAGGATCGCTTAGTGGGACTTGCAATTATTTCAATCGAGAAGGAATTAGTATATAATATGGACATGGATAAAGTTATATCTGATTTTGCATCCGCAAAAGCAAAAAAAGTCAAGTTCTAATAAAATGTTTACATTTTCATTATGTTTTTATTAACTTTTTGTATTATAATACAGCTATTTTTAAATTATTTTGATTTATTTAAATTAGTAAGGGTTTACTTGTCTATAAATATATTAATATAATTAATTGTTAATTTTATGTGATTAAATAAAATGAACTCAAAATTAAGACTATTTCAGTAWTGTTTTTGTAAAAAAAAAATTTGATGTTTTATATTATACATGTAAGGAATAGCAAAACTCAAGTTTTCCTAGGTGAGTTTAAGCACTTGAGCCGTGCCTGCTCAAGCACATTGCATCGGGGACGTACGTCGTACACACGCGAGGTTTGGTTGTTCAACCTCGCACCATTTCCCCTGGTAATTTTTACAATATACGTAGTATTCGTGGATGTATAAAAATGAATAACATTTAAAAAAACAAATTGATGTATTATATAATATATAGTTACATATACGTATACAATATACCTATATAATTTGTATATTATGTAACCCCTCCCATTGAAAACATTTGTGTACTGCACTTCATGTACAAGTGCACACTATAGCATGTAAGTACTAAAATAATACACATTAGATTAACTGTACTGTATCTGTTATGTATCTCAATTCACGGGCTAAATCTGTGTACTTCGTTTTGTGAACTAATTTGACCGACAGGCCTATATGGTGGATTAGATAAAACGCACGCACACTCATTTGTCATCACAGTTTAATGTATTTTGTCACTGATCTTCTCTAACCCATATGAATATATTCAATTTTATTTTAAGGGGGATTAAAATCTTCCCACATTAGATGACTATAATTATAAAAATAAAATAATATATGGTATTATTTGCATTTTGGTTAATCTGAAGACTTTTTAAACACATTTTGGATTAACTTTGAAAATACTATTTCTTTTATTTCAAGGTTTACGTGCATATA